AGGAGGGAAAAATATAATATGAGTATATTATATTGTATATAAAATAAGATGCCAAGAAATTATACACTCTTGATTAAGTGCTTTTCACCCCCCTTTTTTCTTTCTCCGCCACCTTAGAGAAAATCAGGGGTTGCACAGTCAAAACAAAACAAAACAAAAGGTGGATTCACAGAAGGTCAATGTTACCCTAGGTGTTTTCTAAATGCGTTTTAGGTAGTTCTAAAATAATATATTTTTTAGTGTTGCTGCTGAGGTTTCGTGTGTGAGTGTGGGTGTGTGTGACTGTGTGTCATATGTCACTACACCAAACCGAAATAGATTTAAGCTATTGAATGAGGAAATTGTACTTCATAGATAATGGTGATTTCATTTTACACATACTGCTCCACTTCTTTGTCCCATTCTCAGAAAATGTTGGGTGGAATGATTATGCTGTGGTCACAAAATGGATGTACTCTCCTGGCCTTTGAGATGGTGCAGTTTTAGATGAAAACATTTAATTTGTAATATCTTTTATATTGGTTATTTGGTGGGAAAAAACTTCATTCTAGTTTGTAATTTATCTTTCTGAAATGTTTCATTTGATTAACATAGTAAATCTTTTGTTACTAAAGAGTTAAGAAGGCACAGAAAAAGACTTTCAACTGCTTTGGGTAATGAGTCTCCTCATAAGTAAGGCTACATCAGAATGTATTCTGCAGATCTATTCAGTCCTTTTGACCTGCTTAGGATCTTCTGTCCTGTTACGATGTTTATTGGTACAGATTGGTGTTGGCATGAGAGACACAGGTATAGCCATACCTATCTCCCCATCTGGCTTCCTTTGCCCATTTTCTGGTTTTCTTTTGCCTCGGGCCTTCCCCCACTTTCTCCCTCGTGCAGCTGAGAAAATGGCAGTAGTATTAGAACTGGTAGCCCTATTGTCTGTATAAGCAGAGCTTGATGAAGCTTACAGCTGGACATTGTAAGAGTTGTCCAGCCTTGAAAACTTGTTGTCTCATAAAATTGAATAATTTTGTTTCTAGAAGCTCATCTGAGGGGAAAATACAATTATGCCTTTCCTCAGAGAATGTTTAACAAAATTTATTGATTATAGTATCATATGTTACATATACAGTACAGAATGAGAGAGGTCACCAGGGCCAGGCACCTAACAGAAGTGGGAATTGTAAATTCATGAGTAGCTCATTTTGCTGCAGCATGCATGCTGAATCATTTTGCCATCTTTCCATCAGTTTCCCCAACTCTGGAAGTATGGTTCATGTCTTAAAACTGTATGTCAATCTAGAAAATCCTTATAATAAAAAAGGTATATATTATGGATTTGCTATGCTGATCTATCATGAAGATGATAAATCAGTGTATCAATATATTTCAGAGAACATTCAAAGGTTTTTGCATTTCATTAAAACATTATTCAGATAAACGTAGACTTTCCAGATCTAAATATTTAGTCATCATAGTCTTTTGGATCTGGAAAAGTCTTTTAAAAAATTTGAAGGTGGGAGATTTTCCAATATCTCCAGCATATATTAGTGAGTGAGGTGATTTTGAAGATGTGGAACATAGGGGTAAGATTTCATGTTAAAAGAAAGTAGCTGAAATAGGAACTGGTGTTGAATTATTAGTATGAATAATCATAAGAGCTAAAAATTTATTGAGCAATTTCTATATCCCAGGCACTTAGTTTTACATTATTATATGTCACCACTTAATAGGTTCAGGGAAGGTAATTAACTTTCATAGCTTTTAACCACTGTGAAAAACTTCCATTTATAGATTATTTACTAATATTGTCTATTGGGGGGGGCAGGGAGAAGGAAGCATATTAGCTTAAATGGTCTGATCTCCAAAACACTCCCTGCTTGTGTGGCTTTGTGTGAAATTAAGCATCACAAGGCACACACATATTGTAATCTCTGTGATATCCAAGAAAACTTTGCAAAAACCAAGCACTGAGGAGTATTGGTTGGTGGCTTTTCTTTTTACATTTTACCTTTCCCATAAGACATAAATTATCTTCAACTTAAAACTAACCTTTGGGTGGAATTTGGAATAATAGGTATCACACTACTAATATGTCCTTTTCTAAGAAAAGATTATATGGAAAATGTGAATGTAAAAATTGTGTTATATGTATATGCACTATAAAAGGACATCTTTGCTCAAAATTTCTTGTGAATTTCCTTTAAAAATCAGTAGATTACCTCAGTAATTTTCAGAGGTTTTCAGTAACATACTATTTATAAAAGTGAATCATACTTGTTATTAAAACATGCAAGCACATAATCAAGTTTCTCTATAGTCACTGAAGCAATCTTAAGTAGTCAATGTTTTAGTTTTGAAAATATTAAATACTGGTTGGAAGGAAAAGAGCACAAAATGTAGTTTGATTTTTATATAACTTTTTAGTTTGGGTTTTAGATTGGAAGATTATAAGATCAGAGTTTATGGTTCTGTGATTGTTTTTAAGCTATTGGATTAATTTGGCTCAAAATCTTTATGAAATGTGTATTTAATATTATTTAGAGTACTGGTTTAAAAGATCATTTTTTTTTTTTTTTTTTGTCTTTTTCCGTGTCCGGCAACGGATCGCAACCCTCAGTGTCGCCCCCGTACCGGACCGGGACCAGCAACGGGATCGCAACCCTCGGTGTTGCTCCCGCGCCTCGCTCAGCCAGTGAGCGGGAACCGGTCTGTATGTGGGATCCGAACCCTCGGCAGGAGCGCTGCCGCGCCTCCCAAGCGGCGCACTATAGCAGTGCGCCACCGGGCTGGCCCTAAAAGATCATTTTTAAAATTTTTTTTCAGTTTTTAAAATTATTGATGCTGAGTATGGTGATTTATAAAATGATGCTTAATGTGCACTATAGCAGTGCGCCACGGGGCCGGCCCTAAAAGATCATTTTTAAAAATTTTTTTCAGTTTTTAAAATTATTGATGCTGAGTATGGTGATTTATAAAATGATGCTTAATGGTATATGATTTACACATTTAAAGAAATGGTCTGTTAACATCTGGGGGCAGAATTACATATAGTGAAAAGGTGGAGATAAACTCAATTACATGTATTTCCATATATATTTTTCCTTTTTTTTCCAATAACAATATGTTTCTTGAAGGAAAAACATATTCAGAAAACCATCACCTTAATCAGCAGTTATATATTAAACTTAAAGGATATGGTAAGCCTTAATAATCTAAATAAGGATTACATTTTTACAGTACTTTCGGATTATGTAAAACTTTTGTTCCATACCTACCCTACTATAATAATGTTACCCTTTGCACATGAAAATTAAACACCTAATCAGTATTAGTTTGACATTGATTTTGGGGGTCCATCTGTACATCATTGTTTCCTCTCCCTTGTAACTTTCTATACCTGTTTGATAGCATATAAAGCATCCAGGACTCAACAAGTATTCTTCTTCTTGGTTACAACTGTTTTACACTTCAGTGGGTTTTTCTTTTCTGTTTTGTAGTTGATGGCCTAAAGAATAGCCCAAATCAAATAATAAAGTAAAGAGATCCAGTAGGGCACCTAGTACTTACTCAACACAGTGTGTCAAGGTTGAACAAAAAGCTAGAGTAACATCTACATGGGAAAATTGGATTGTTTTGCAGCCCTGGTATAAGATTTATTTCAGTTAATAGTGCTTCTGATGCTATATATATATGCTACATTGTTAAAGTACCCTATTTAAGATCACCAAAATTCAAACTTACACATTACTATTAACATCAAACAAACCTTATGAAAAACCAATTTGGTTATCAGTAATCCTATTTTTCTCCCATATTTTTGAGGGTTTTTTTTTTAACAGTGAGCTTATTTGACATGAAAAGCAAGTGCTTCAAGTTCTGAATCTCATGTTTGAGAGATACTAGAATTTTATTAATGATTCTGTTCCTTCCAAATTAAGAAAAAATAAGAATATATTTCTTATAAGAATATCTGGTAAAGGTAGTAGGAGATATGGACTGTGTTTTGATTCAAGGCAAATATTGTCAAATTACCACAAAATTCCTGCTGCTTTAATAGCTGCAAAGAGGGAGAGAACATACCTAGGGATACAAAGTGGAGTGGGGAAAGGGGGATGGGGAGGGAGGTTGGGGATAATTGGGCGGGGGACACAGGGTATAATCACAATTCGTGGTAATGG